AAATTACATAACTAAGAGAGAACTCAGGTGCTCTGATCGTAAAAGTCCATATTTTTTGATGAAATCCTATTTTGAGACAGAAATATAACTATATTTATCTTGGAACTTTATTGGAAATTTTATTTGACATATCAATTTTGCCTTGAAAAAAGTTATATTTATCAGTGTAATTTACAAACCAACAGAACCTTCTTCTATTACTTCCTGGACAAGCAGGGCATAAACAAACACATCTGCCTGTAGCTAATGTTTCTCCTCAAATAATCTGACTGTGGTGAAAACCATAGAATAGGTACTACAATGAAAACAGAGAATCTGAAATTTCTTTCTTAGGTTTAACAAGTAATTTTATTTGGACTGCAGGCTATAGTTTGTTTGCATGGCCTATTGAGAAAACTAGCAAACTGTGGGCCTGAAGTCCAAATCAGCCTGCTGCCTAATTTTTAAAATAAACTTTTTATTAGAACAAAGCCATAGTTATTCATTGACATATTGTCTTTGGCTATTTTGTGCCACGACAGAGTTGAATAATTACAGTGAAGCCCATATGGCCAACACTGTCTAGAATATTTACTGCTTGGCCCACCACAATATGCTAACTCCTCATGTAACCCAAATCAATAGCAACAAGAAAGTCTCATGGTCTTGAACTTCTTTCTGTGTCTAATCACTGACTAATAATGGCTCGCTTCCATGTGTTTATTTGTTTGTTTTTTTTTTTTTTGAGACGGAGTTTCACTCTTGCTACCCAGGCTGGAGTGCAGTGGTGTGATCTCAGCTCACCGCAATCTCCGCCTCCTGGGTTCAGGCAATTCTCCTGCCTCAGCCTCCTGAGTAGCTGGGATTACAGGCACACACCACCGTGCCCAGCTAATTTTTTGTAATTTTAGTAAAGATGGGGTTTCACCATGTTGACCAAGATGGTCTCGATCTGTTGACCTCGTGATCCACCCGCCTCGGCCTCCCAAAGTGCTGGGATTACAGGCTTGAGCCACCACGCCCAGCCTTTTATTTGTATTTTTAAGTTATTCTGCATTAATTCTTTCATTTAATTCTCAGAGTATTGGTGAAATAGGGTATCTTAGCCCATTCAGGTTGCAATAACAAAGTACATTAAGCTGGGTAAATAAACAATAGCTATTTACTGCTCACAGTTCTGGAGGCTGGGAAGTCCAAGATCAAGGCACTGGCAGATTCAGTGTATGGTAAGGGCGCTCTCTGATCCATAGATGGCATCATGTTGCTGCATCCTCACATGATGGAAGGGGCAAGGGAGCTCTCTCAAGTCCCTTTTATAAAAACATTAATTCCATTCATGGGGTTGTAGCCAACATATTTGGTTTCCTTTAGGTGCCAACACATGAATTTTGGGGAGACACCAACATTTAGACCACAGCAGTCAATAGGGCTTATTTCCATGAGCCAAACTGCAAAAGAGGTTAGGGAAAATAAAAAGTTAAATATTTATGTATTTTTCAATAATGAAGTCAAGGATCAGGTCCTGTAAGAAGATTTTCCCAATCCTTCTAGGAAAAAAATGGTCACCCTACTTACTTTTAAAATCTCAATTAAATCTTGGAGAAGTATCATTCAAGCATCTATAACACTTTATTGTACTTTTTGTTAACTTGTTTTTTGGCATCTAACAGCTTGTGAGCTCTTCCATCTAATAGCTTGTGAGCTCCTCCAGTCTAGGGACTTATTAAATTTAACATCTGTTGAGTGTCAATTTGTGCCAGACATGTGCTAAGCCCATAAATACAATGATCAATAAGATGCATCCTGCCTTCAAAATACATTAATAAAGAGGATAAATAAGTGAAGAAATGATCAATATATAAATCAAGTTGTGCTACCAAAAGGGAGACATGATGTAATCCAGTTTAGGGTCTTAGGTAAGATATCTTGGGAGAATCGACATCTTCCATGAGGGAAGATTATGTGTATCCAAGACAAGGGGAGAGGGTCATTCCAGGTTAAATTGCAAGCAAGTGTTCAAGCACTTCTGTGTTTGAGGAAGTAAATACATAGGAAGAAGTAGGGTGGAGTGGCAGAAAACTAAACCGGAGAGGGGAAAGGGGACCGGATGACGAAGGGTCCCTTATGACATGTTGAAAGTACTGGATTTGGTCTTTAAAACTATGGGAAGGTCTTAAAAACTGTACTGAACAAGCATAAGAATGCCAATTATGTGATCAGATTTACACTTTGGAAAAGAGGCTATGGCAATGGTAGGAGATAGATCAGAAGAAGATTGATCATACAGTAGCCAGGTGAGAAATAGTGAGGATCTTAATCAAGGTAGTCATGTGTAAACAGAGATAAAGGGACCAATTTTAAAGATATGAAGCACCTAGAAATAAGAGGAGTCATATTGGAAGTGAAAAAGGAACTTTAGGTTCCTGCTTAGGCAACTGAGTAGATAGATGTTAACATTAATCACAAAGGGAGAACATGTTTGAAGGATGGGGAGTGAGAAGATGAGAAGTCATTTTGGATATGTTCAATTGTAGGTGTCTGTGGGAAATTCAAATGGAAATGAAGAGTGGGCCATACCAGTCTGAAACTTAAAAGACTTAGCTGTCTGGAAGTAAAGATCTTGGTATAGTCAGCATTTATTTAACAAATGATCTTCGAGTGCCCCTATGTATGTGCCAGGAATTATTTTAGTCCCACAAAGACATAAGTTGAATCCTTCAAATTCAGCAATTGGTTGTATAAAACAAGAAGATCATAGACAGAACCCTATGGAATACCAGCATTTTGGAGGACCGAGATAAACAAATTTTCAAAGTCAGCCAAGAAAAAAAAAATTCAGAGGCAGAGATAGACCCAGGGACAAAAAAAAAAAAAAGGTTCCTGAATATGGAAGCACTGGTATTTTAATATATTGAAATACTTACACCCAGAGCATTAGAAGACTAGGAGGTAGGGAACAGAGTGTAGACAACTGGGATTTAAGAGCTCAGAGACCATAGCTTATTCATTGTCCCTTCCTCCCTTATTCTTTCAATGCTATTTATGAAGCTCTCTTACTGTGTACTAGCACTGTGATAGATATAAAATATGTGATGGTTAGCAAAACAGATTCCTGGTTTGGTTAGCAAAACAGGTTCCTGGTCTTCATGGAAATGTGTGGTATAATACAGAAAACAATAAGCAGGTTAACAAGCAGTATTTATGTAATGTATATACTATGAAAAAAACATGCAGGGCTCTATGATACAGAAAAATAGTAGGACCTACTTAGAAAGACCTGATATTTGAGGAACTGAAGAGGCAAAAAGAGGGAAAAATATATCAAGCAATTATTCATGTATATTCTCTGCTCTTATAATATATTTGGTGCATGCAGGTAATTTTTCAATGAGTAATTAATAAATGAAATAGTAAGGAAATTGATATAATATTTACTATTATCCTATCACCATAAAATGTAAAGAGATAGATGTGAACTTTGAAAGACATCATAAATGAACATTTTATAAAACATAAAATTTTCCACTTGTCTACTTTTAATTTCAAGGGTAATTATCAATTTTTGCTTTTTACTGAAACCAACACAAGCTTAGCAAATTATCTTAAAATGCAGATATAATTTAATACAGAAAAATTATTGTAAGAATTAAATTTCCTTCTTGTAGTTTTGTAACATTAGATTTAGCCATCCTTTCCATTCTTTCTATTAGCGATTGTTGTTGGATTTTTTTAAAGAGGTATTTACTCTTAGAATCCTCTTTTCAACACAGCCTTGTGATTCAGTTTAGCTAAATGTTTCCTAAAGTAAGTTCTCTTGAATACTAGTCCCTTGAATTGCTCCTCCTAAAACTTAAATAAGTTTTTAATTATTAAGTAAATCTGAAAAATATGTGGACTATGATATTCTACTCTTTAAAAATGACAATATATACTATTGTTTAAAGGTTTTTTTCAAAGGCCTATAGGAGAGAAAATTCTAGTTTTTCAAAATTTTGTTTTCGCAACTCAATCTACTATATAACTCTTTAAAAAAAGACATGTACCTAACATATTTCAGGGTATTCTTTGAGAAATACTGTTGCAAATGGTTGCTTAAAGTTCTAGGTCCTTTACTAATCCCTGAATGGCGTTAACTGAAAATAACTTAAAATGTTGACTCTCATATTTGTTTCATATATATGTGTGTATTATGTTATATATGTGTGTGTGTGTGTGTGTGTGTGTGTGTGTGTGTGTGTGTATATATATATATAGAGAGAGAGAGAGAAAGTCTTACTCTGTCATGCAGGCTGGAGTGCAATGGCACGATCTTGGCTCACTGCAACCTCCACCTCCTGGTTTAAGTAATTCTCCCGTCTCAGCCTCCTGAGTGGCTGGGATTACCAAGCATGCACCATATGCCAGGCTAATTTTTTTATATTTTTAGTAGAGATAGGGTTTCACCATATTGTCCCGGCTGATCTTGAACTCCTGATCTCAAGTGATCCACCTGCTTTGGCTTCCCAAAGTGCTGGAGTTACAGGTGTGAGCCACTGTGCCTGGCCTTATAAAAAATAATTTTGAAAGTAAAATCATTCAAAATATAAAGGTGTGACTGTACTTATGGCATAATGAGTCTTAATGAGGACAGTAGCAAGTTGGAGCTTAATTAAAAACTTTGCCATATCACAGTCATCGCTATTCCTCTATAGATGCATAAATAAATTAGTCCCATTTTCTATCTCCTAAGACATAGAAAGCATTTGCCTGATGTTACTCATAGAAGGCACTTACCTGATGTTACTCAGCTATTTAATAACACTGAGTACTCTTTTTTCTGTATACTTTTTCTTAACACTATTTCTGGGTAAGAATATAGAACATGTCTAAATTTGCATTCAAACACATCTACATTTTTCTCAACAAAATAGAAAGATTATGCGGTCGAAGGTCAAATTTAAGAGCAGCATAATAATATCTTTCTTGCGCAATGTTATTTTCCCCATCAAAGCAAACAATCATGGGTTTAATTGTTATTTCAGGTGGCATCTGCTTATTTCAAAGATTTTCACCTACTGCTAATTGGAGTTATCTGTTTAGCAACATCCATAGAAAAATGGAATTTGCACAAGAGAATTGCTCTGAAAATGGTGATGATGGTTGGTGTGGATCCTGCATGGTAAGTACCGCCTTTACTGCTTCCAGTTTATCTGCTCAACAGATCAATTCTGTGCAGAGCAAATAACCAAACAATCAGTGTACCTTTGTATCACACTCTGGATATTCTTTGTATCACACTCTGGCTTTTCACTTTTTTTCCTCTGGAAATATGAAAGTGATAAAAAGTGTACTTGAGGTATAGGAGGATAAAAACAACAACTTTCACTGCATAGAAGTGAAAGCTGAGAGAGGCCTTGAACCTCAACAGACAAGATTGATAGACTTCAGAGTAGATTTTCCTCCTATCTTGTCTGTTTGGGTGATAACACATTCAGAACTTGTTCAATAGCATCCTTTATCATCAGGGAGGATGTTACGAACCAAAGACAAAGATGTTACTGACAAAGTACAAATGTGTGCAGAAAAATTCCAAGGGGAACATTTTTCTTTTTAAACCAACTGTTGCAAAGTGAAACAATCAATTAAGGAATTTTGTCTATAGAAAATAAAATCACTCATTTGACTGATAAAATTAATTGGCTATTTTGGTTTTATTTCATCTCTTGCTAAGAACATGAATGTAAGCTAAAGAAAATGTCCAGTGTCATAATCATTTGCATAGTGGCATTTTGCTTTAAAGCCTTAGGTGTTTCATTCTTTCTCATCTTTCTCTGAAAATTAGAATATTGTACTGACTTGTATTGCATAATTCATCCTAGGGCAAAGCCACGTTCGTGTTTTTCATTTATGGTGCGAATTGTTTTGCTAAATACAAAAAAATCAATGACTCAGATGAGACAAATTTTCAATCTTTTTAATTTAAAAACTGTATAACACGTATGTATTTAAGACACCATCTTACTCTTAAAATGAAGTGGTGCTCCATGCCTTTTAGGGTGCTATACAAATGTATCTCTTTTTCCTGACCCTCTGCTCATTGTTCCAGAGGACGATGTGATGCATTTCACAGTGGGCAGAAGTTCTGTCCATTATGCCACTAAGTGGCTTTTCAATTTAAGGCATTTACCATACAGACGCTTTATCTGATCCCAGCCTTTTTAATAGGAAGATTTCTTGCCTTGATAATGCCTTAAGAATTAAAAGTTCTTAATTTTCTTTTTTTAGAAGAAAAATTTCTTGTGTAAGCAGATTCCTAGTACATTATCTTCTATTTTGTTTTATGCATTGAAAATATTCACCTTATCTGAGTCTGAAACTTACAGTGTGGCATTGTTCTTGTAGATCTGTTTTAAAAGATGTCAGATTATTTCATAAATGGCTCTATACAGGAAGATGTGCTTCTGAATGATTTTCTAGGGCCACCTACTCAAAAGAGATCATGTTTTTTTCCCAAGTCTGACTTTGAAAGTTTATAGACATGGCTTAACATTTTGTAGTCTTAGGTATGTTATTTTTAAGGAGAATAACTACTCTATTTGTAAAAGAAGACAATGTAATGTATCCAGATTCTGACAACAGGAAAGGATATCGGATTCAGGAGAGCATAAATCATATGAATACAGAAAATTCAGAAACCTCATTTTAGCAAATGACCTTAATTATTTTCTCCACCTGCCATATATTGAACCAGTATAGTAAACAAGTAAGAAGAAGCTTTATAAATATTAATTTCTTTCTTTGTCCTTGTGCCTCCCTGACACTCTTATGAGCAAACAGAGTTACGGCTAAAAGATAAAAGAAAAAATAAGGGACTCTAAATTCAAAAGTTGATTGCGTTTTCATCTTACTAGCATTTGAAGATAAGTGGTCACCTGTGAAGTGCATCAGATATTGGTGTAATATCATAAGCTGCTATTTGTCATATAACCAACTTGCAGTTTGTTTGGTCATTTTTCTGTTTCTGAAGAGAAGATTTGTATGGTTCCCTGGGAGACAGATCTCTTAAGAACTCCACTTGTACATGTGCACCTTTGATTTCCACCTGGCTGTCGCTGTACTCCAACTTCATCATCTGGGCAGAATCTGAACCTTCTATGTTTTGAAAGACTTAATATCCAAACTCACAACATCTTAAACATTTTGCATTTAAATAATACAGTGCTAGTTAAGCTAAGAGCACAGCTCCACACTAACAGCTCTCTTGTTTCAGGCTGACGCTGGGGTTCATGAGCAGCACTGCCTTTTTGTCTATGTGGCTTAGCAACACCTCGACTGCTGCCATGGTGATGCCCATGGCAGAGGCTGTAGTGCAGCAGATCATCAAGGCAGAAGCAGAGGTCGAGGCCACTCAGATGACTTACTTCAATGGATCTACCAACCCTGGACTAGAAATTGATGGTATCATATGTTGACATGGCCAGTCTGGGATCTAGTCATTAAAGCACTGGACATAAACTCAGGAATTCTAAGTTGTATTTTGAATGAACTATCCATACATGCATGATATGAATTTAACCTTCCTCCCTCTGTAGTTCTCAGTATCTGCACAAGTAATTTTCTACAAATAGTTTATGTAAATTGTTACATTTCTATTAGCTTGCAAAAAGATTAATGCCTTTTCTATCCCTCATCCAGACTGATGGAACACTCTCTCATGTCTTTATCAATAGACCTCCAGGTTACTGTTTCCTGCCCTGAAAGGGTTTTCCTGCATAATACTGGGAATTTGTAATTCCTACATTCTATTTGGATACAGCATCAAATTTCACTGTAATTATTTCTGGCTTTGACGAACTGCTCTGATGCAGTGAAAAAGTGTTGGGAGGATATTTGTATTTATAAAGTATTTTAAGGTGAATATTATGTTAGTACACAGTGAATTTTTAACTTTCAATTTCTGCTAATGCTTCCATCTTCCTATTCACACACATATGCACACATGCAAACCCAATGATATCCCTTATTTAAATTGTTTTTTTTTTAATATTTTGCAGAAAGTATTAATGGGCATGAAACAAATGAGAGGAAAGAGAAAACAAAACCAGTTCCAGGGTAAAGAATACTGATATTTTGATTAGAATTTTTCCAAAATTATATTTTAATAAAATTATAACTGGATCAATTTATTTTTCAGATACAATAATAATACAGGAAAAATTTCAAGCAAGATGGAATTGGAAATGGTATGTAAATTTGATTCTTTCTAAATAGTTATACACAAAATTATACTAGGTCTGCAGATATTTACATAAGCATTTTAAAATCTGTCACTTGCTTCCTTCTCTATAAATTGCTTTGCTTGACTAAGTATTAGCATAGTGTAATGGTTTGATAAGCTTTCATGAATAGACAGAAATCAACATCTGGATAGAAACCATTTTGGGCTCTGAAAATTAATATCATTATTTTTTCTTTTTACCAGAATTAGGATAATGTCAGTTAATCAAGGTAGTTTAAAGAAATATAATTTTAGTATCAGAATATTGCTTCTTTTTCTTGTTTTTAACTTTTATTATAGTTTCAGGGGTACATGTGCAGGCTTGTTATATAGGTGAATTGCGTGTCATGGGGGTTTGGTATACAAATTATTTCCTCACCCAGGTAATAAGCATAGTACCCAATAGGTGGGGGTTTTTTTTAAATCATTTTTTAATTAAAATCTTGCTGGCCTAATAGCCTAATTTTCATTAGGAGGATTGTCATTTCTTCCAGGTTATAAACTTGGAGCAACTCTTATTTATGTAATTACAAGTAATTATCTTTAATGCTTTTATTACCACTAAAAAGTTCAATGGAGAATTCATGAGTTGCTTCTGGCAAATATGGGTGGAGGAGTTGTAGCCATTCTATATATTAAAGGAGGGAAGGAGAGCTCTGTAAACTAGCCCATAGAATTCACTTCCCCAGAATAAATCTATATAAAAATACTACACTAGATTGCACTGGGAACAATATACTTCAAGACCTGTAAAATAAATCCTGCATAGAAATAGTCCTATAGTAACTATGGCATTAGCAATGGGAAAATGGGGCATATAGTTCTTCATCTGGCCATGGAATGCATTAACATAAAGCTCAATAGGAAAAAAAAAACCCTCTTGTTAATTACAGAAATCTTCTAGGGAAGAGCGATTTCTATGTAAAGAGAAAATGAATACAGTTAAGTTTTAAGCCATTAGCCACAGAATATATTAAGCGTTTTTAAAGATGGGAATTGCATATATATTTATGAAGATATTACCTTTAGAGATAGAAGTAATTCCTTTAAAACATAAAAAATTAACAGTCTGCCAGGTATGTTATAGAATAATACATTAGAAATGGGCTTTAAAAACTGTTGTGAAAATTGGCACACCCAAACAGAAAGAATATACGTGCACTTGGTAACTTACTTGTGGTCATCTTTAGAAACCTAGTTTTCTATCGTAAGGCCTAAAGTTTCAGTCAAAACCCTTCAAATTGATTTGATAATCAGTACCATCCCAGGCATTATAGGCAGGTCTTTTGATGAAAAGACCTGCTCCTTACTGTAACAGCTCAGAGTCTAGTGGGGAAAATGGATTTAAAAAAATAAATCTGACATAAATACCACAACAAAGGCAGGCACAGATGCCAAGACTTTCAGAAACAGGAGCAACTACTTTGATCTGGGAATACTGCAGGGAAGAAGTATAATGTAAAGACACTGGAGTTTGGAAAGATGATACTGTGTGCAAGCAGAAGAGTGAGAAATCATGAACGCAGGCGCGTGACTACCTTGTCAGTACTTTAAACTCTGGCACATTCCAGTTGCCTGACACAAAGGAGGTATTCGATAAGTAGCTATCTTTATCAATTAATGAATGAGTGAATGCGAAAGAGTAAAAAGAAGAAGATGCTTTTTAATCAGAGAGTACAACTAATTCAAAGAACCAGCTAAGTAAAGAGCAAGTTTTTTTTTGGCGAGGGAACCTCTCCAATGCAGATGCTAGAGATGAGCTGTTATGGGGAATAAAATGATTGTATGTGTTTGCCCAGGTTAGAAATAGCTCTTCATCCAATGCAAAGGAGTTTAGAGCAGATTTTATGGAAAACACAAAGCCTTAAAGCTGCGGGGCAATATGGTAGGTCCTGCCTTTGGGACAACCTGAAGGTCAGTGGTGAGCTTTGTGATTAACTGAGCAACTGAGCTTTTTTATTAATTAGACATTGAGGATGAGGGAGAAAAATGTGGGAGATGCCTCCACTGCTCTAAACTGGGGAGCAGTAGATTGTGACACCATTGATTAGAATGAAGAACTCAGAGGTAGAAATAACTTTTCTCAATGGAGAAAAGTAAGATAATATAGGTGCATTTTTGTCAATAAAGGTTAATACCTGAATTTTGGAGAGGAGGGCCAGGCCTTTGAATGTTGATTCTATTGTCTTTCTAGAACCCAATGCAAAAAAATTTAGCTTTATATAAAAATGGAAATAATTTTTTGCTGCACTAAAGTATTCTTTATAAGACATGCATGAAAGCATTATTTTATATATTATACATTTATGATATGGTTTGATTTTTAACAATTATAAGTATATTTTCAGGAATAAATGTATACATAGCTTCTGTTGCAATGATAACGAACTGCCACTGCTCTTTGATAGATTTACCTTACATAACTTAGCACTAACTGATTATATGGAAGAATGTATATCTACTTTAGCTATAAAATGGAAAAATATTTATATTTATAATCTTTTGATCTTCTGCTTTCTTCTTGAAATGGGTGTGGTATTCTATTGAATTAAAATAAATCCTGTGGGGTATGACTTTGAATTTGACCTACAGGTAAAAAAGTACAAATATTACTCCCTTTTTGGGGAGAGTGGTATAACCTAAATTTCAGAAAAAAGAAATTTCCTTCAGTTTAGCTCTGATTTTGATTATTTGTTGTCTTCTGCTAGCTTTGGATTGATTTGTTCTTGCTTCTCTAGTTTTTTCAGTTGTGATATTAAATTGTTAATTTGAAATCTTTCTAACTTTTAATGTGGGCATTTAGTGTTATAAATTTCCCTCTTAACAGTGCCTAACACTCATGACATGAGTTTACTTATGTAACAAACTTGCACATGCATTCCCAAACCTAAAATAAAAGTTCAAAAAAGAAGAGAAAGAAAAAAAGGCTTTTTACAAAATAATCTGCATAATTTTGCTATGTTCCCGCAATAAAATAAATTTTATTTCTAGTGAAATTACTAAAATTTTATTCATTTGAAGCACCATTTGTTTACCACAAAACTAAAGGTTTTAAAAACTTAATTAAAATCTCTTTACTACTACAATTAAATTATTCTAAAATGATCAATAAGCTTACTTCACTTTTTAGAACTATAATATTTCTCCCCTAAGGCAACAACGCATACTGATCCATACAGAGTTTAGTGTGTAGTAAGCAGAAAGTTCTCAATAAGTAGAAAAATAATAATAGCCCCCAAATAAATTCTGTATTTAGCAATGACAGTAATATTAGTTAAGAAATATACATTTAACATTTGTTCAATGTCACCTTTTCAACAAGACCTACCCTAACCTCCCTGTTTCATTGCAGCCACCATATCCCGTATCCTTCCTCTTAATCCTCCTGACTCTACACTACCTTTTCCAAAGCATGTATCCCTTTCTTACAGACTACAGAATTTGATTAATTTTATCTATTTTGTTCATTGTCTTCTTTCTCCACTAAAATGCAAGGTTCACAGAAGCAGAGATTTTTGTCTGTCTAGTGCATATCACAAATATCTTGAATAGTGACTGCTGTAGAGTAAATAGTAAATATTTGCTTAGTGAATAAATCAATTCAGTAATATTTTCATCAAATGACTACAATTAGCTTAAAATAACTCATGTTGTATATAAACTATGCTAAGTTTCCAGTGTCTACTTAACCATCAGAGAAAATTCAGAGAAGTCACTATGGACAATAGAACCATCCAATTAAATACTATTATTTTTGGCTGCTAAAAAAAAAAAAGCCAAAAGAGAGTTATTCCATTGAATTAAAATAAATCCTGTAGGGTGTGACTTTGAATTTGATCTACAAGTCAAAAAAATTTACAAATATTACTCCCTTTTTGGGGAGAGAGGTATAAATTAAATTTCAGAGAAGAGAAATTTCTTTCTCCGAAAGGAAAGATTACTTTCAATCTCATTAGGTAACCACCGTTGACATTTTGAGTTCTTTTCTTTTTTCTTTTTTTTTTTTTTTTAGAGACAAGGGTTTTGCTTTGTTGCCTAGGCTGCCATACAATGGCACAATCATGGCTCATTGAGTTCAAGCAATTCTCCCACCTCAGCCTCCTGAGTAGCTGGAACTATATAGGTGTGCACCCCCATGCCTGGCCAACTTTATTTTTGGAGGCTGAGTAGTTGGAACTATAGGTGCAGTTCCAGCTAGCTATACTATACCTACGAAGTGTAGTGTAGCTATACCTACACTAAAAAGCAAAGAAGCAAACTGATAAACATTTAAAGGCAACATTGTGGATCAGATTGGTTTCATTTTATGTAGAAAGACAAAAAAATTGGTTTGTAACTAAAACTTGTCAGCTCTAATATTCTTGTTAATAGAACTACAAAGTTCTCATACAGATAATAATGATGATAATTTTGCTAGTGGTGATAAAGACTATATATTAATGTTGAAGATGATGGACAGTTAGTAGTCTAGGACCTGATTTTTAAAGTATTCATATTGAAGAGTAATGTTCCTATGCTGCCTATCTAAAAAAGAGACTTGTTCCGTGACTTCACTTTTATGACGTCCTCTTCTCACTGTAGGCCTTGGCCCAAATACTAACTGGGCTCTCTACTTGTGCAAAATAAAGTGGTGAATAGTAACCAAGCCCATAAATCCCACATTACCCCCTAAAAGTAGGTGAAACATTTGTAGAGAAGAAAAGGTACTGGGAGATGAAAGGAATATCCTAAAAGTACCCTGACAGTACCTGAGGGAATATATTTGTCAGGTTCCATTGGGGGAACTGGTAGACCAATCACCATGCATACAATTTCCATGGGAAATGAGTTCTAGGTATCCAAAAGTCCATGTGTAGATACCAAAGAAGGAATAAAGTTGCTAGTTCTTTCCCTCCCATGCAAGCATTAGTATCATTCAAAGAGACACCCCAGAGTTTTACATCAGCTCAATTTCTAAACCTCCAG